ACACATAATAAAGCAACACACGTACAAATCGACTAAGCATTTTGGAATGGAACATGCAGTGATGAAGGAAGGAATGAACCGAGTGAAACAGGCGACAAAAGAAGACAATGAAGCCGATAATATCCATTCGATATGTGCTAGATTTCCTCTCTAAGTCTCCGGACAACTGGCATAAATAATAAATATTATATTCAAGGAGAAAATCTATATTCAACAGCCTCAAGTTCAGTGGAATACATACTGATAAAATAAAATATCACTGAGATCTGTAGGGAAGTTGTAATGATGTGAAACCAGAACGAGAAATTCCCATGATACGGCCGCCAGCCGCTGATGCTACCTTATACTTGCAGCTGGGGTTACTGTATAAAACTTCAGATTACTGTAGGTGATGCGTAGAGCATTTGAAGTTGTAGTGGGCAAGAAGTTAAGGCGATAGGTTTCAAATCTACTACAGTGCAGCTTGAGCGTGTTCACAAGAGCCGACCGGGACTGAGCTCAATTGGGCCAACGGCTTTTAGTGTTCCGGCGATTCCCTCTGAGGGCCGTACAGCCTGATTCTTTTTTGCGATAGTGGAGTCTTGTCCGCTGCGGGCGCTAGGGCGTTTCAGGGGCTTGATTTAGCGTCAGACTGTTCTTCACCCATTGTGGAAGCTGGCAGGCGGCCTTACTTAGGTGGAGAACAGGCTGGCGCAAATCTTATCCCTGCAAATACCCAAGCGTCCGCAGCTAGCAGGACTATACGTGGGCCTTTAATTGCATATTTAGGCTAGAACCTCCCTGTAGGAGGGATGTGCGAGTTCAATCAGCGGACTTGTCTGCCCATCTGTCCCTTGACCCGTTGGACCCCCAACGGACAGTAGGACCGATGGACCCTATTCGCTGGCGTTGGAAACTTCGGATATGGACGTATCTGTGGGTGATAAGGAACTCACTGAAGTGTCTAACCCAGCATTCTTTGTCAATGGCCCCTTGCCAGCCACCTCTAGTCTAGTACGGGGCAGGATTAGGGATATTTCCAGCCACCTAGGATCAGGGTGAAACCCGCGAAGTTTTTTCACAATAACTGCATAGAAGGACCTAGGTTCTTCCATAGGGTTTATCCACATTCCACATCTCAGGCTGTCCAAATCCACCGGGTGAGACCTCTTGACCTCAGAAGGCAAGCTAGGAGTGACGTGGCTGTGAGATTCAACTGAAAGCACCATCTGCTTTCACATTCAGCGATTAATGCGGATGTAATCCCATTAAAATGGCCCCCGAACCGCGGCCAGTTAGCAGACCCCCAAAGTGGTGCCCACTTACTTCCGCGCAGTTCTCGGTCAAAAACAGGCATGACATCGACCGCGGCAGAGGTTGGGCAGATGGCCTGGCAGGTGGCCAGCTACTTTGCATACCGCGCGCCTTCCCCTCTGTGTTTTTTCTTCGCTGGGCGCTCTCCACCGCAATGCATGCTCCATACGTTCCCTACCATGTTTGGCTCTCCTGCTCAGCTCTGCTCTCTCGAGTTATCGAAAACTTCGTTGGTTGCTTGCAATATGGTAGCATCTGCGTTGAGGCCTAATTCGATTGTGCTAATAATTACAAGAGCCCGACGAGATTGTGTCACATCTGCGCCGTGCTTAGCTACAACTTACAAAGAAGTTGCATATTGGCCTGGTGAAGAGATGTGACCAAAAAACGGATTACTGTAGTGGAGAATGTCTGCAACAGCAGCACAGCTGAGTGAGATTAAGTGAACAATTGCACTGAACGTACAAAGACATTCGCGGAACAGAGATCAAAAAAGTGACGTTCAAAGCGGCTGATGGACCTAAACGGTTTAAATGACCTAGATGAAGGCGCCTTTTTGGCCTTGTAGTTGAGCCAGGAAAAGTTGAGCTAGCATTTGTTGATTGAACATTGGTGGATACGGGAACACATGTGGCTTGGGAGGGACAAGCCCCTCAGGCAGTAAAAATGGTTGAGTGGTCATGGCGGCCGCCGCGTTGGTGGTAGTCGTGGTGGCCGGTGATGATTGAGCTACAGTTTCAGTCGCTAGACTGACCGGGAGCGTGACTGCTGGCGTTGCGACTGAAGTGACGGCTGCAGTGGCGGTGGTAGGTGACGATGGTGAGCTGGTGGTGGCGGCACTGGGCTTCACCGGTGAAATTGGAGGAGGGTGGTCGGCTGCACGAGCTGCTGCAGCTGAGGCGGTGAGCTGGACCAGTGCTTCCATCATTGACCTGGAAAGGATAGGAATTACTCTGAAGGGTAATACGGAAAGAAAGAAAACGAACTAGTACGGCAGAGCTCCAGAAACAGGTAATCAGAAGCAAAACTATTGTGAGAAGCGCTCTGTTCCAATAAGATACGGTAGTTAAGGTAATTCTTGTGCAAAGTTGGGATCAACGCGATGTGGAGGCTTCTTCATGCCACTGGCTCACTGACCCCATAGCTCACTCACGCTCTCAGGCTCCTGCTAAGACCCTCCCACTGCCCCTTTTCTCCCACCCCTCCCCGGCTCACAAACTGCACAGAAGTGCCTAAATTCACTAGAATAACGCTATGATAACTTGTGGCTTTAGTCCGCCTCTCTCACTACGGAAAAATAGATTGGCCTTATGTGCTTCAGGGGGTTCCAGCCTATAGTTCTGTGTCAAAGCCAGACTAACTCGCAAAGAACAGGCCCAGGGTTAGTTAGACACTCAGTACATTCCAACTTTCTACAATTATTGAAAGTCCCTTCCTTGAGCTCATTTCTCTCCCCCCCCCCCTCATCCGGAACTGCAAGCTACTCTAGCGCTGATGGAAACTTGCTGATTAGCTTCTACGAGGTACATACAGCCAGGGAGGAGGGACGGTCACAGCTATTTATCGACCATCGATTTTCACTGATACGCGGAGGAACCGCAACGCGACCGCGCGCGATGATTTAACCAAACCTTGCACATCATGTCCTTCTATTCAATTTTATCTGACTGGATAAAATTTCAAAATTGATACTCTAGATCTTACTGTGGCATAAGTGGCATAGGCGGCATATGTTGCTGATCTAGATTGCGTAGGGTGAGATCCAACGGTGATTCCTCTAGACCATGAGGACTCCGTGTACGTGGCGGGGGCGGGGCCTAAAATTCAAAGGGATAGATAGTGATAAAAGAATGATTACTTTCAGTGTCTATCAAAACAGGTACTCTAGTAACATTACCGTACCTTGACGCCCTTCCGGCTGAGTTTCTGCTGATAGGCTATCGGACATCCGGAAAGACTTCGATGTGACGTGCGATTGCTGTTCACATGACCTTTCCCAGTACAACCAGGTGTCGTACATCTGAGTACGGTATCCTGTTGTAGGGCGAGCACTAAAACAAGGCGTATAACATCTCTGGGCAATATTTTGGCTACGGTTAGCTGCTCGCGCACTTAAGAAAGTCCCATTGACGTTGCGCATGGGAGGGGAAAAAAACTGACGACAACGACTGCAATAGTCGTTTGATGCACGGCCCTCAAGCAAACAAAGACGCCGCGTAATCAGTCACTGACTGTTCGCAATGCGGCGCCGCGAGCGGCACGTAACCGTCGACTCAATCTCGCCATACTCAATGAATGCATGTAAGTAGACACAATGACAAATCGACACCGCTTCAGCTACCGTAGTAGTTGTTAATATGGCCGACGCGCCATACGGGAATCCAATGAACTCACTCTGAATCGTCGACTTGTCAGGGCGTCGTGGGCAACCGGACAGACTTCGATGGTGGGTGTAGAGGCCGGTCTGATGGCCACTGCCGTCACATCCAGGCGTCGGACATGCCAATTTGCCTTCTAGAACAACTGAGCGCGGTTGCGTGATCCAGTAAGCCAAATGGACTTCAGTCTTACCTCGACGAGCACTCCAATTCACACTTGGTGATGGCATTGATGGGGTGCCCATACTGGGACTGGCCGATCCGGATGGTGGCAGTGACGAGGAGACGGGAGTTTTCGGCGGCGACTGAAAACAAAGGCCATTCGCATCTGATTATGTGGCCGACAAGTAAAGGAAAGATTCAGTACTTACACTCGTTGTTACTTCAACAGCCGGCAGACCGTCGTCTTTGTCCGTTGGAGCTATGCGTCCATCGATAGACATGCATAGCATTTCTGGTTCGACTTTACTCGGTGACACAAAGCTCATTTCGAACTTCTTTGGCTCCTGAAACGAACAATAGCGAGTGAAACGAGGTAGTTATGCGAAACACTGTTCATAGCCCCTTCCTGGGAGCAATTCGGCCTACTGACAACTTCAGGAGCGAGAAAAATCGTCATTGCCCCTTCTGGGAAAATTTGCTGACTGGGTCAGGGAATCACTAGGCTACCCTTGATTCCTTACCCCGGATTTTTTCTGGGGAAGGACATGGCGAAAGTGGCACTCCCCAAATCTCCGCTGCATACTGAGTTATGCATGAATAAGTACCAAGAAAACCTATAAGAAAACCTATAGGATAACCGCGGCTACGCGCCAAGTTTACTTTTTAGCCTTATCCATCAAGTATCACTCAATATCACTTGGTATCATTGAGAGCTTCTCAGTCTATAGACGCCTTTGAAGATATTCAAAAAAGAAGTATCGTTCCTGTGAGTGAGCCGATGGCTGCACACATTTCCTGGCCATTAGCCAAGTAGGCGGCCACTTTATAATCGAGCAGCCTCAATTTGGGGTCTAGACCGGCGCTTAAGGGCGCAGAGAGCATCATTTGTCAATCCTTCGCGTTCATTGGCGTTTTGACCGGCGAACACCCTTAATATGACCAGAATGCCATAAGGTTAAATGATGCGAAAATGAACTCCGATAAATACTGGCTCATGGAGAGGTTAGCTATTGATTTCCACTGACTTCGAGGGCTGGTTATCCTCCACCAGGGCAAATAGGGAAAGGGAAGACGAGTGGAATTTTTTGGTTCGTCCTCCCTCGCTGCTAGCTCTAGTAGGAACCGCCGGCTCCGTAATTTCCCTTACAGCGGTGCGGGAAGGGGTACAGAGAACCCTCGCAAGCCAGTAGCTTTCCGCGGCGTTTTCTTTGTGAATATTTCCGTTTCGGGTTTTATTATACAGTCCGAAAAAGGGAAAACAAAAAATTCCTACTCTGTTCTAAACAACCTCCTTTGGTGATTCCTTCTGTTAGTTAACATGAACTAACAGAAGAAATCGGTGAAACTGCTGAATGCCCCCCGCAAGCCTAACAGCGCCTCAAAAGCCTTTGAATCTGCTCACCTCTTCGTCGTTTTTGGCCAGTTCGTGCTCGTCGGTCTGCGATTCAGATGCCATGGTGACGTCATCTGATGGGACGGCACTCTCGGAATGACCACTGCACTCCTCGTCCTGCACGCTGTCCTCGACGACACGAACGATATCCTTGGCTGAAATGAGGACATAAATTCGTACAGTGGTGCGTATTTGTGTATGTGTAGAGGAACACACACAGTAGCGACCGGTAAAAAACGACGGATGATGACAAAGAACGTGCCGGCCTCCTTGTCGTCCTCGTACTCATCGTCCCGTCATGCCCTATTGCTGAGGGTAAATGTTCGACGACGACGACGCGTATCACGATCACCCCCACTAAACCACCCCCAATCGCATGTACATATAATAGAGCGCTAGGAAAAACTCTAAGGAAAAACGTACATAGGTGAATGGTGATTGGTTACGCGGAAAACAGACCAAGGACAATTCGGGCAGGCAGAATGGGAAAATAGGGCGGGGTCTGGGCGGTTTTTTTATCCTGAATTCCTGGGAATTCACTGATCTTTTGGCTTCTATAAATCTGATAATATTTAGAAAGGACATTATGTAGACGTCACTGGCCTCTGGTTTCCGGTCACAAACCACTATTAGATCTCCATGGCCATTTGATGGTACCCGCTTCGGGACAATTCCATAAGTACACGGCTGAACGGTACCGAAATACGATCCCCACCTCTGCCAATGGAATTCTGTGGATGGCTTGTCGGAAAGGAAAAGCTGCTGTTCAGGGCTACACGAAACCCTGAGCAGCCGTTTTTCCGACAAGCTTCGAAGCCGAACTCGCTCACCTCCTCACCTCAACTATCCGGAAAAAAAAAATCATCGCCCAGTGCGGCGTAGGGGGAGGGGGTGAGAGATGGTGATTCAGTAACTTCCCGAGATTCACACACCTTGGAGTTTCTTGGAAACCCTGTCAGCAGGTTTAGTAGGCCGTTTGTAAGGTCCTCAAGGCATCCCATAGCATAGTGTAAGGTGCCCATAGCGACCCAAATACGACCCTACCAGCGGGGACTCCTCAACCAGGCCGTTCCTTATCCCTGAAAAGCTTTAACGACGAACCAAAACCCAACACCGCAATCTTGTCAGCTAATTGCAGGTATTTTTTATCAATTATCGAATTTTACAAACATCCATGAAAAACAGGAGGAAATTTCACAGAAAAATTTGCTGAACACAGGTCAGTGGATATACAGCAGGTCGGTCCCGCGAAGAATGGGAATGGTGTTACTGTAATTGTTTCCCCACTTGAAGAAAACGCTTGCAGATATGAAAAAAGAGCAAGTTATGAAGGGTGTTTTTTCAGAAATTTATTGGTTTAACAGCGATTCACCTAGAAGTACCTAACCCACGGTAAGAAAAGTTTAGAAGTGCTACCTAAAGAACCCATGACAAGTAAAAAAAAACAAAAAAAGTCATTTAAGGAACGAGAACTTCCAAGGCTTAGAGTACTGGGAGATTTCGAAACAAGGATACCGTTTCACATGATCCATTCAGGACCAAGATTTCTTCAAAATCAATATTGCAAATACTGCACGCGGTAGTTAACTGAGTGGGAACTAATTTCCAAAGAAGCATTTAGTCGCGCAGCGATCAAATCAAGTCCTGTCCAATAGAATGGATGGAATGAAGCGTTTCGGAAAAAAAAACCATTGTAGTAAAACACCCCCAAGGGTAATGGGGGCGATGCGGGGTTGAAAAATCGAAAAACGCATAAACGGAGATGAGTAACGTGCTAACGGATTAAGCAATTTGCACGAAGAGCAGACCAATGCCGTCTCCAGACAACGACTGCACCACTTCTCTTCAGCGGAGCAAATAAATCAGATTTCGGCCCTGACCGGCAGAAGCAGAAAAGCTTGAAAGGGAAAGAAGAAAAGAAGATGAAAGGAAAGAGAAAGGCAGAAGATATCAAAAAAGAGCCAAAAGAGCTCACCGTCGGGTTTTCGGCGCCGTTTCGCGGGTGGCGCTCCTTCGCTTGGTGTTGACACCACCGACGAGACGTCATCCGGAGTCTCGGAACCTTCCGAATGTGTCTCTTGGGTGTCACCTTCAGGTGGTGTGGCGGCGTTTCGTGCCGCTAAAGAGCTGCAATGGAAAACATAGGTATCGATCGTTGAGCAGATCAGAAGTAAACTTGACGGACCTGACAACGATAACACAGAAAATCCAGGTCCCACTAGGCCCGCTTATTCGAGAACACCACCACCTGCATGTATCATTATTCGGAACATTCCTTCCTCTGCACACCGCTAAATCTGCAGGGTAAATCACCGTCGCTGACTTACGGCGCTGTGAATAATCCGCGAAATTCCGGGACAACCTAACAGCGAATAGAGTCGACAGAATGATGTGAATCCGACCGGGAAAGGGACACACAGTAGCCAACCTGCTAGCTCCTGAGCCTCTCGGCTCGGGTGCGCGGCTGCCTGCCGAGAGTAGAGAACTAAGGCAGTTGGAGAGCGGCGTGCCCGAGCGTGGAACGGCACCCTCGGTGGGCGTGCGGACCTGCAGCCGCCTCGTCCCCTCTTTCGGGCGCGCTATGTGCATGAACTTCTCTTCCCGGTCGTGTTCCCAAGGACTGGGCCACCAATCACCTCCAACCAACCAAATCGCCTACAGATTGTCCATTTCGGTCGACAATTTTCAAATCATTGCCCTCACTTACAACAGCTGCACCGCTTTGCACCACATGCTGCTACGCGGACAGTTTGCTCCCTTAGACAGAGGGCGCGCATAATGTAAACCTTTCTACTCTCATAGAACTCAATGTCAACGGCCTGCTGAAGGTGTAACGACAATTCAGCGATTTAGCGCTTGTCGGGGGCGCGGGCGGGGGGGAGTCGCCGCTCCCTAACTTCTTCTGCCCAGTCTCCTGCTTAAATCATGTCTCACCTTGGCGAGACATGTTTAACACTTGTCAAGTGTAAACGAAGCTTGTGCTACTGCGCAGCTTTACACGAATTTACAAGTCCACAGGAGGAATTGGTTATGATCGATGGAAGTCAGCAGGATGCCCCCACCAAGCCGTACAGCGCCAAGGGCATTTTCTCCAACATTCCACTTCTTTGCATAACTTCGGATCCAGTCACCCTGGCATCTTACCCTTTCTAGGCTATAGCCACAAATCCCCAGTCCAGCGTAGCTTCTTACGACGATGTACAGGTCCCACCTGGATACATTGGAATGGTATTCAACAAATTGCCCCCACCAAGGCGAATAGCGCCCGAGACCTATTTTCAAGCTTTTCTACAACTTGGTCCACACATCCCGCGCATCTGCTATTCATTTAGGCTTGACAAAATCCCCAGCCCAGGCTCAAAATCGCTTCCTCGCACCATCCTGCGCTAAATGCCATCTGACCAGAATAACGGAGAAAAGAGGTGGAAATAAAGCCCACCAATTTTGCAGCTTCACAAAAGTTAACAGGTTTCCACTGATTGACCTGTCATAACTTCTACCATTTCGTACTTTACAAGAGCTAACAGGGTAAAAACAAAAATGACCTGTCCAAGCTTGTAACATTTCGTAACTTCAAAAGAGATGACAGGTCTCCAGAAAAAGAACAACTCATGTACTATTTCGTAACTTAACAAGAGTTAACAGGTCTCCACAAAAAACCACCACCCCAGTTCGTAATAATTGCAAACTTTACTAGAATTAACAGGTTATCACAAAAATGACCTGTGCGAACTCGTAGCATTCCGTAACCATGCAAAGGGTGTGACATAGTATTTCGCAACTTTACAGGAGTTAGCAGGTCTCTACAAAATGACCTAGTAGGTCGACAGGAATCGATTAAATGCCCCTCCCAAGCCAAACCCTTTTCCGTAACGCTTCTGTACAACACATTTGCAACGACAAAATTTTACTTCAGTAACTATCACTACATTGACAACACGGAGGGACAACTTGGAGTGCCTAAAGTCAAATGAGTATCGGACTGGCTAAATAGAGTGCGATAACAAAAAACCGAAAAAAACATGACTGGAACATGACCGCTTTAAATTGCGCGCGATTCCAATCGATAAATTAGCCGGAACGAAAATGATTTAAAAACACGATTTTCTTTTGCAAAGTACTAATTCTTCAGATAACAACACAATCCTTCAGACATCAAAAAACAAAAAAGAACTTGAACGAACAAGAAAAGTCAATCAATTAATCAATCCATCAGCATAACAATAAGAATTACGCGTTTTTTTTCAAACTTCCATGATTTTATGCATCATAAGAGTCCAACGTGAAATCGACCAGCTTCACAGGTTTTGTTTGCCATTTGCCAAGACCAGCAGCTTCCAGCTGAAGATCACATACATTAACACCCAAAATGGTCGACGTGGAGACAGACGGATATAAGGGCAAATGGCTGGCCAGCACCGCGGTCTCAACGACCTGTCCGGCAGCTTTATCGGCACTAATTAACTCGGATCTATTCGACTTACTTGCTCGTAAAGCACACGTTTGGCTTCATTGTAAGCGACTGCCTTTTCTTTTGCCTCCATATATGTACCACTGCGCTTCAAGCTATCAGGCGCCAATTTCAGGAAAGCCTAAAAAGTCAATAGAAAATCAATAGTCGATTACTAGTAAACAGTTCTGGGGGTACTACAGTTCAAAATTACCCACCTCGAAAATCGCCGCTTTGCAGAGGCGTGATGGTGAACCCTTGTTGGTTCGGCCGGATTCCGTATTCAGCATTTCCACATGCTCCATATCACGTGTCCACACATGCGATGGTGACATGGACAACATAATTTTGTTCTGTAAAAATATAATTTAAAAAATTAAAAATGGGAAAATCTGCGGCGGGCTAGGGGGGGGGGGCATTCTGCTCTTTGCTGCTTCACTAGTGCCGATTTACAAGTCTCACTCTGGTGAAACCTGTGCACTCTTGTAAGCTGGAGCAAGCTCGTTGAACCATCATGGTAAACCCTGTTCAACACTTGTAAGCCCACGGAATAGATGTGCGTCGGCACGTAGCAAAAACGCAACATACCCCCCCCCCTGTCGCCGAACTGCCTCCAAATCTGCCAATAATGGCTGCAAAATTCACCAAAAAGTCCTCAGACTCACCCTAATTGATTCCACCTTGCATGGAATTGCTGGAGGTTCAAGACGTCCAAACAGAGCATTCATCATTGAATCATCACTCACAGGTGCCACACTACCGAAGAACACTGAGTGCGGTAGAATTGGGTGCATAATGGTGGAGAGAAGTGCTCCTTGGACACCTGAAAATACATGCATAACTTATGGCTACCGTAGTTACACACAAGTTGAGATGATAGCTACCGTATTTTAGCGGGGGGCCGAGACATGCAGCGAAAGCGATGTCTCGGCGAAGTTTGAGGCAGTCGAACGTTGGACGAAGAGAACGAGAGAAATCGCCGCGCGCTAGCACCCGTCTCGGAGTGGGCCAATTAGACGGACGCAGAAACTTTGCGCGCCACTCGTTTAGCCAATCGCCGCTTGGCCGTCTAACTTCCGGCAAC